GGGGGGGGGGCTGACGCGATATCGTTGCGAGGAATCTCTATATTTTCAACGCGCCGGAAATATTAAAGGTCCACCGGCTGCCGCCGAGAAATCCACGCTGCAACGCGACGTTTTCGTCGATGAAGAGTTTTTCGATCGAGCTTTTGTGTCGTAAACAGACTCGTCGTGTTAAGAAACGACGCAACCCATATCCACCGGATGTCTTTTTAGTCACCGATATTATAATCGATATGTGGCGATGTCGAGCTCATCTAAATTTATCCCGAAAGATGATCACCTACATGAAGACACAACTTTTGTGACGAGTTTGGTACTGTACTAATAAATATTTTTAACGCTTTCGACGTTTAAATTTAATCCGAGAAAGACAGTATCGCAAAATGCTGGGCGCTATAAATTGATGCGACAGATCCCTTTGTATAGTTGACCTTATAATTCGAAGACCGAAGTAACATCGGATCAATATTGACACGGATCAGTCCGACTGTTTTGCGAAAATTTTCGCGGAACTGTTTACGTTTCTCTCAAAGCGCTTAGGCATTAGTCACCGTATTACGTCGTATATGTAATCTTTTTGCACAAGCAAATGTTAACACTGTTGGCGCAGCAATAAATGACGTGAATATCGCTGTGCGCGCTGACCTGGATAGACATTGTAACTTGGATAATTAACCGATAATAAATTATTACCGAGACAATACAGAGGATTGTATTAAAAGTCGATAGACGCTATTATTCAGCACCTAATTTGCGTACAAGTATCGGCAGCATGTTTTTGAAATATTTTTATAAAAACAATAATCGTATTTGAGATCAAGATAAAAATTGAATGGACCGCGGTGAATGTTGCGGGAATTCAAAATCCAACATGCAACATGCTGACTCGATGTAGCGAAACGAATCAAGCATTATTTCCACGGGAAATTCTCTCGGGATTCGCGGAAGAAAGAGAGAGAGAGAAACTGCTAGCGGATGAAGCCCGCTACTAAATCGAAACTCCGCGTTCGTCCAACGATTGTTATTGGCCGTGGGAAGAGATCGATGCGCGAGTAAAGAAGTGCATTTCATGAAAACAAACGAAAGATTCTGCGGATCACGAAAGCTCACGGGAGACGGTTTCAGTTCGGAGTAGAAAGCGAGAAATTTTCCGAACCCTCTCGTACGAAAAGAATTGAAAGTAAACGTAAGCATATCGATCGCGATCGATATACGTAGATTTTTGTTGTATTTTTTTAGCCGAATTTGGAGATACTTAAGAGAAATTTTATCTTTATAAATCGCGATATTATACGTTTCTCGCGCGAAACTGTCGCATATAAAGATGTTACAAAAGATATAATGTTCTATTAAGACACGAGAGATTTAATCTAAAGAGATTAAATTTTCAGAGAATGAAGAGATATGGATCTTTACTTCTTTGTTTCCAAGAATAAATTCCCGGTCGTATAATTTAAAAGTCCTTTCTCGCATCGATCCTGCTATCATCGTGAGAAGGATGTCACAGCGCGGGGATAAACATGCACGGTACGCTCGATAATGAATTCAACGAACGTATAATGCGGGATTTAACATCGCGAGAAAAGCACTTGGTATTCCTACCGAACGGGAGTCAATTTTCGAAAGTGGGAGATCATTTGCAGCATTGTATTTCCGTCGCAGTGACTAATATGTTTCCATTTGTGCATACACGTATATTCTGTCATTGCAAAAATAATAGTTTAATTCGACTTTTTTTCGTCAAAATCAACTTTAAATGGCTCGTAGAAGTGAAAAGAATACCGGTCATCTTTCGGATCACCTTGAAGGCGCTTTAATCAATGTAATTTACGTGGGAAACCGAAAAGCCACAGGGAAAATCGATATTCGCTAAATAGTTTGCGCGAAATAAATCTCGCGATAACGTTATAGCACAAACTTGTCACCCGCGTTACTATTCCAAGTACTCGCGCAAACGCGGATTATTCGCGGCATCCAGGATAATATGGAGTCTGCCACACCTCGAATTAGAGCAAAGAGTAGACGGAAGAGCTCGTTTCCTCACAATGACGAGGTGTTTCGAGCTCTCGACAGACCTGACACGTCACATTCATCTGTCAGCCTATGCGGGAACAATACGCGGAGCACGAGAAGACCTGTGCTATGCTAGCCCGTTAAAGTTGCGCGTCTTGGTTTGATCGCTAGACGTTCCTCTCTCGCGACGAGGATTGAAACGGGGAGCTGACAGCCATCGCAAAAGTTCTATACTTTGAAATATTAGGTCTACCGGAAAGTTCTGTCCGTTTTTGGAATAAAACAAAATACAAATTTT